ATGCAATTATTTTTAAGGATTTTGGGAATTGAGTCAATGGCAAAATAATTTACGCCACATGTATATTATAGACCTACAGGTCAGCATATATATATATATATATTGACATATGTCTTATTATTTTATTGAAATAAATGTTCAAGATATAAAAGATATAATTATATATATATATATATTTACTAAACTATATCATAATATGATTTGTTGCCATTTTTTAGAAATAATAATATATTCCAAGTAGTTATAACTAGTTAATCTATTAAGGCTCTATTAACAAAGATATAAATATTATAATATTTGTAAATATTGTATAATTTATTTATAAGTTTTTTTTATATATTTTTTAACTATTTATAGATATAAATTTTTTATTGGATCTTATAAAGATATGATTTGATTATATTTGACTATTTTTTGTTTCATTTTATTTGTGATACCATATTTTTTATTAATTATATACTTATAGTTGTCTATTTTTTTTCAGGCAAATATATATTTTCTACTTAGTATATCTATGATAAACTTTATTATTCCATATATTAACAATTGATATACATATATATTTATAGTATATTTATTTATATATTAATAGACTATATATAGTCATTATCTCATCAAAAAGATGCACAATTTCTTCTTAATTTTTTCTAAAATAATTTTATTTATATTGATGAAAATTTTTTATACGAAGAAGCAATTGAAATTTAGGAAAAAAAATTCTAAAGGCGGATTTTAAAATAAATGTTCATTAAAATCAAAGATGCAAAATATATAGATCCCCTCAAAATTATTTTTTCAACGACCCAAGTCCATGGTCATCAAAGAATTTATTTATGTCGCTAATACTCTTTTTTGAAAATATTGACTTGAAGTCAAAACCGATTTCTTTTACTTTTTGCATAATTGCCTGCTCGTCTGATACTTTCTTCCATGCATCTAAATATCCTGATACCACCTTTTCTATACCCTTATCATCATCTACTTCAAGAAAAGGTTTCAGCAATTCCGCTACTTCTTTAAGCTCAATTGAAGAACTATAGAACAACTGTCCAGTAAAGGCATAAGAATTCGGAGCGTCTACACCAATATCTACTAGAAATTCCACCGTTGAACTAAACCCTTTCATAAATATTGGTTTTGTTATTACGCCCTTTGTAACAAATGTCTT